GTCAGCTTAAGCAGGCTGCTTTGGTGCTGCGCTAAGCTGGCATGCTTAAACGCCACCTTTCTGACCTGCCAGCGGCTGTGCTGTGAGTGGGTTTGTGTATTAGCCACTTGATATGTACAGTTAATTGTTCAGTTAATGTTGAATGTATTATGTGAGTGCTACAGTACTGTAACATCAGCATTTTATTAGCCATGTTCTTACCCAGGGTTGAGTTTGTAATTAATTTAGACTGTTCTTTTGTGTGTGAGGGTTCTAGAATACTGACTTGACTATAACTGACTCGATGTGTGAGTTCTGGAATACTGGCTTGATTCTGTGTTTGAGGGTTCTAGAATACTGGCTTTGCTCTGTGTATGAGTTCTAGAATACTCGCTTGACTCTGTGTGATGGGTTAAGAACACTGGCTTGACCTTCGGTATGAGTTCTAGAATGCCAGATTGACTTTGTGTGAGAGTTCTAGCTTCACTCTATGCGAGTGTTATAGAAAACTGGTATTCTAGAACACTGACTTGATTTGTGAGTTCTAGAATACTGGTTTGACTCTGATGTTTTCTAGAACACTGACCTTTCTCTGTGTATGAGTTCTAGAATACTTGCTTGACTGTGTGCGTGGCGGGGGGGGGGTTCAAGAACACTGGCTTGACTTTCAGTATAAGTTCTAGAATGCAAGATTGACTGCTTAAGAGTTCTAGCTTCACTCCGTGTGAGGGTTGTAGAAAACTGGTATTCCAGAACACTGACCTGACTCATTGTGTGAGTTCTAGAATACTGTCTTGACTCTGAGTGCTCTAGAACACTGCTCTGTGTAGGAGTTCTAGAATACTCGCCTGACTCTGTGTGTGTGGGTTCAGGATCACTGGCTTGACTTTGTGTACGAGTTCTAGAATACCAGATTGACTTTGTGTGGGTTCTGGAAAACTGACTTCATTCTCTGTGAGGGTTCTAGAAGGCTGGCTTTAAATGTGCAAGTTCAATAATACTGACCATGATGGAGTTCTAATGTTTGTGGATTTATTTACCAAAAATATTACTTTAATTAATTTTACTTTTTTTATTTAGTTTTCATAATTCTCATATCTGCCATAATTCATTAACAACTTCTCTTTATCCCTTACAATTAAGCAGGCTGTTTTTGTGACTGTACCTTTATGCGTGATGTGTTGCCCTGTGTTGTGCTGATTCCAAAAAGTAGTCCAGGCTAAAATGTAGGAAACAGTGTAAAGTTACAGCACTCTGTATCACTTCAGTGTGAATGGGCAGAGCTCAGCTGCTGTAGGCTGAATAGGTGGTCAAACATAAATATGTTCATGGTTATGACATCATAAATATGATGAATTAATGACAGGCCGTGTTTGCAGCCTAGTTTTCCATATAGGAACTGAATGGGCAGGGGAACTGTACAGTCTTTAACAATGTTTATACTGCGTAGGGCTGGGACCACTTATCTATTTACTAATAATTATCAATAACAGACATGAAATCTATAGACAGTCAATTTATGAAAATGAATGGGGGAAAGAATACAGTGGAAAAAGGATGCGATTTATTACATACTTGCAGAAAGGGGATGAAGAGGAAGATAAAATGGATCCATCAAGTAGTAAAAGTGACAGTTTTTTTCTTTTAGCCAGAGTGACTCAGTCGTAGATTCTACTTTGCTTGGTGTGGAGAGGCCTTGGGTTTTCATGCCCCCTCTGGTGCAAATGGAAACTCTTCTAGATAAGTATTACTGTTAAAATACCTGCGGTTTTGAATAATGAAAATATTTATTGATGTTCTTGTCCTGAATCGTTACAGCCCTAATGTAACATGCCAGACCTATTTTAGAAAAGAAAGGAAAATGTCTCATTTAGTAGGCCCTTTAATAGCAATTTTGAGGACGTTATTGATCATTTATTTGGATTTGGAAGTTCTGCATGATTTCTGGCATATTGTCACTGTCCAATGAAAACCATGTATCTCCATTTTTGTTGATGTTTAGTTTTACATCATTTCAACACACCAGCTGTCCTGTACATTGTATAAACTGTTCATGATGAATGGACCAATAGAAACGCTCTAAAATCACTTGGAACAAAATCTCTTTACTCTCTCTCTTTTTTTTCATTGGACAGCGACGATATGCAAAGTGTCATGTGGACAGTAATCTAGTTGCGAAAAGCGTTAAAGTCCTTCTTTTGTCTTCTAATAATAATCAAGAGTTTACTCTGCTGAGTAAGCTCACACATTTAAGTTGGCAAATCTTTTGCAAAAATGAGTTAATTACGTCTGTATCCGGTGTCTGTGGGATGTTTGGCTTGTTTTATTGCGTGTGTGGGTGCGCCTGAGAGTTTGTCTTGCTCCTGTGTTGAGGAGGATGTGCATGAGTGAGAACCTTTCTTAGCGCATACTTGTCTGAGGTGTGTATGGAGTCACTTGCTATGACACCATTTTTAGGTTAAATGAATGGTACAGGTTAAGCTGCCCGAGCATTGTTTTTATTTTTAAAATTTATTTTTGCATTTGCTTATATTAAACTGCTCTCTGGCTGTCAGATTGGCTCGCTGTCTGGTGTGTGGTTACAGGGAGTGGCCATTTTTGTCCCTACAGTTGAAGCTGTTAATGACTGACGGGTTGGACAGGAATGCATCAGCATTCTCCTCGTTCTGGTCACATGATCTGGAAGAGAGCGACAACAGTAATGGGATGACAGGTAATGGTCAGGTGATCAGGCTGCCTCCATGGTTACAGACAAACTGGATCAGTGGAGCGTTCCTACTGTGACTTTTGACTTCAGAAACACATGAAACCCAAAAGAAATGGAGTCTGCAAATCATGCTATAGCTGTGATAAGAGTGTATCTGCTTTCACTATCAACTTTAAAGAGGTGTGAGTGTATGACTTTGGGTGATACAGTATTTGTGGTAATTTCCTCATTTCTTCTGCTAATGCTCAGACACACAGCATAGCATTGGCTCTGTTAGGACTAAGAGTTGAATGATCTCAATAATAAGTAGTTCCAAGTCTTGATGGTGACACATTGTTCTGACCAAAGCCCATTCACAGTCTTTGTATATCTCACTTTAAGCTTTGATTATTAAGCCTTCTATCCCACTTCATTCTGTGAACATTGTCTCTCAGGTGCTCATGGGAGATGTAGTACCTCAGTGGTGTGCAGCTTCAGGGCTTCAAGTGCTTTTTGGTAACTGATACTTGTCTCATGACAATGGTGTTAAACTATGGCCTCTGGCATAAGAAAACCTTGTAACTCTATTTTTTTCTTTCTTTTTTTTAAGTTCTTAAACCATTTGAGAACGTGCCATTTACATGGTGTGGAAATTTATTGAATGGACGAATAAGTTTAAAAAGCACACTTCATCTTTAAATGCAGAGCTCACCAACCAAACACCAATAATCCATTGTTTTCTGCTGTCCAGAAAAAGACTTGGTAAAGCAAAGGCGTTTTCCTACACTTTTGCCACTTAACAACTGGAACTGTTCGTTTTCCATTTAGCTCCAGTCCAGCACCAGAGGGTCCAGTTTCATGGGTTTTTGGTGCCTGCACAAGATTGTTACCAACAGGACTTGGTACTCGAGGGTGGGGCTAGCTGTACTTTATTTTGTTCTATAGACTATGTTCATTTGTAGACCACTATTTTTAGAATTATCACTTTGTCAGGAGTTTGCTAAGATAATGCTAGCTAGTTATGTAGGTACTGCTAACATTACCATTTAGCAGTGCCTTTTTTTTATTTCAGTCGTACCTCAAACAGGTAGAAAATTAGCTAGAACTAGAAACCTACGTTCTATTACTTTGGGTCAGTTCTTGTGTTTTTTTATTTTATTTTATTTTATTTTATTTTATTTTTGTTTTTGGTGTAGTGTAAAAATTCCCTAGCTGAACCAAAGAGAATGGGAACAGACCAGGGCTGGCCAAAATGAGGCCCAGAGGCCAAAGGATAGAAGGATATTTGGTTTGACCTACCAGAAGGTTGCCCTAACTTCCCTACCCCTTCACTCAGTAAAGGAACAAACCTTTTTCTATATATGACTTTTTATTTCTCTGAAAATTTGATTAAGCACTATTTGTAACAAATGAAATATATTGAAATGTTATTGGCTAAAAGTAAAAAAAAAAAAAGCATCAGTTGACTTTAACACTACACAGTCTTCACTCTTCGCAACGGAGGTGTAACAACACACATGTAGCCACTAGTTATGAGCTAAGGTTTTCAGGTTTTGGCGACGTATTTTTTGGGTGACTATTGAGATCTAGTGTTTGTTAACAACGTTAGCCTGGTTGTAATCTAAAGTTCAAAATTTGAACTCCAGATATGGCTGATCGAGTACATCTGTGGTAAACGAAAAATACAAACCTGATTTTTTTGCTAAACTATTCATCAAGCTATTATTTCATTACAAAGTTACACAGTAGCATCAGTTTGTTGAGTTTGCCAGGAAAACCACATAGGAGTTTGCTAATGAGAAGCACGGGTCAGACTTCGCACAGCTAGTTAATACACATGTGTCAGAACCCTGTTCTTTGTGTTTTAATGATTGAGCAAGGTCTCTCACTCTTTGTCGCTCTCTCCCGGCTTAGCATTAGCGGCCGCTAAGCTGCTCAGCGCTGGGATTGGAGCCCTTCCCCTTTTGCGGACTCTGACACACACACACACACACATGCAGATTGGTGCCATGTGGAGGAGTGCACAATAATCGCTAACACTAGAATAATCTCCCTCTGTCTCTTGTGCCTGCGTGCACACATTCATACATACAAACATTAATATCACACATACACAAGCACACACAAAGGTGAGTAATAACCCCTCACCCCTTGTGAGTATTGACCCCTCACCCCTCTCCATCTCTCTCTCATCTCTCTCTCCCTTTCTCTCTCTCTCTCTCTCTCTCTCTCTCTCTCTCTCTCTCTCTCTCTCTCTCTCTCTCTCTCTCTCTGGGGGTGGGGTGAGAGGCCACCACTTGTATTTTCTCACTCTGCACGCGTTCTGTCCTGTCAGGAACTGGCCAGCAGCAGTGGCCCCGCTGTCCTTCTTTCATTTCTTCATCTCTTTATTTGGCCTCGAATTAGCGGGTGTAATCCCCGGCCTGTGACGGATGCTTCAACTGCTGGCCTCTGGGTCTGACCCTCAGTGCACATTTGTGGTGCTAGCGGTGTTGGCGCTCTTCGTTTGGGATGTAATCGAGGTTTGAGAAGTGAGTTCTGGAACCTGAATTAGTGTTCTGGAACTCTCCAGAACTCCACTTTCCAGAACCATGAGTGACACCCAAGGTAAGAGTACTGTAGAGATTCTGGCCAGATCAGTACTGTTCCGTGGGGCTGTTATATTATCGTTATATTGTAACATTACGATTGCGTTTTTTTAATGTGATTATTTTCTATTAATTCTTTTTTCTGCAAAGAAAATCAGCACATCTGTTTTCTTTCACTGAATGTAGTGTACCAGACTGCTCGTTCACAGTCTCTACATTATTAGGCTGAAATTGCCCATTTAAAACTTTCCACATTCAATATTTTTCTCGCATTTTATTGGTCCACATATGATAATGTGTAGGTTTAGGTGCCTAGAACAGTCATTCACTTTTATGTGACCATTTTCAACCTCTTAATATCAGTTAGATTTAAACAGATTCTTTTTGTTGCTGTGCCTGTAAGACTGATATGTAAATCACCTCTGTTCTGATTGGCTGTGTATTGTGCCTTGTTCATAAGGCAGTCTGAGCTGGAACACTTCTCATAACTTCAGTATGAATATGTGAGCTATACTGCTGTAGGCTGAATATGTGATTATATGTAAAAGTGTTGGTTTTAGTGACATCACAAAAACAAGTAATACCTTAGTCATATATGGATTGGGTAGACTGGGGAGTGAACAGTGTGCTTTGAATCTTTTATGACATTACATCAAACTCTTATTTATGTTATAGGGGCCCTTTAAGACAATGTTGAATCTTTTATGACATAATTAAAATGTATAAAAATGATGAATTGCTCTTGTGTGCTTTGTTATGGTGAGGAGATGGTTGGACTGGGTTTGGAGTTTCTCTAAAGCTTTCTCTCTTCACTCTAGTGAGTCTGAGATTGAAGGCTATGTGTCTGATTGCTGTAAAACTATTTTAGTTTTTAATTTGTGTCGTAATAGCTTATGTTAGTTTCTCTATAAGATGGTCTGTGCATTTAAACGTAGTCCAGCTGTCATACATTGAGCAGTTGTCACTGTCATAGTCCCAAGTTACCGCTGGTTCTTCCTGTCTTTGTTAATGTTGTGACAACAGAGAAGGCTTTGAGGGAATCATTCCACAGATGTGAAGATGAGGCTTGTGTAGTTTATGTATGTTTTTCTTTTTGTGTGTGGAGGGGATATTTAGAAGCATGTGAAGCGTATAAAGCTTTGTGGGATTAATGCTGGGGGGAGGGGTGATCATGTGTGAGAGTTTAGGGGGCTGTACAGCAGAGAGACTCAGACACAGAGACCCTCTCTGATCTTTGGCCTCAGAACAAAGTCAAATGCATTGAGAAGTGAGAAATACAGAGAAAGGCAAGAAGAGTTTACATAGCAGTACTTTCAAATGGTCTAACACGAAGGAAGAGGAAAACAGGAATAGAGATCGCTGATAGATTGAGTGATTGGTCACAACTGATAAAGTTGTGAAATGATAAAAAGGTGATAGCTATCTGTTAGTGAAGTCTGTCTGTCTGTCTGTCTGTCTGTCTGTCTGTCTGTCTGTCTGTCTGTCTTTCTTTCTGTACTCCCTTTATCTGTAAAAGCAGGTTGTCTAACTATCTGTTAGCCAAAATACACTCTTTCTAAGTCTGTCTGTCTTTTACCTGAGATGATCTGTCTGTCTGTAGTGCAAATACTTGCTTTACCTGTAAAAGCAGACTGTCTGTCCGTCTGTTAGCCAAGAAGCTCTCTCAAGCTATCTGTAGTACGGATACTCTGTTTTTACCTGTAGGCGCATATTGTCTTCCTGTCTAACCAAGAGATACTCTGTCTGTCTGTCCGTCTGTCTGTCTCTCTCTTAGCTAAGGGAAACTCTGTATGTCTATCTGTACTCTATTTTTCTGTACGCGAAGATTAGCTATCTATGTATCTACATATCTGTACTCTATTTTTCTGTATGCTTAGGTTTGTCGGTTTGTATGTCTGTCTGTCTGTTAGCCAAGATAAAGTCTCTCTAAAGCTGCCTGTCTGTCTGCCTGCCAAAACACGCTCTTTCCCTCTCTGTCTGTCTGTCACGCAAATACTTGATATTTTTCTGTTAGTTAAGAGATACTGTGTGTCTGTGTATCTGTCAGTCTGTTAGCCAAGATTCTATCTATCTATATTTCTATCTATCTGTCTATCTATCTATATTTCTATCTATCTATATTTCTATCTATCTGTGTTTCTATATTCTGTTTATCTGTAAGTGCTGGTTATCTGTCTGTCTGTCTGTCAGTCCCGATACACACTCAATCTGTCTGTCTGTTTGTCTGTCTGTTTCAGTCTCTCTCTCTCTGCAGTCATTTGTTCTGTTGTGTAATGAAAGCAGGACTCCTGCTTTACATAACTATTCATCTCCCCTGTTTGCCCCCTGACCTCCGGCTGGTTAGAGCTCTGGCATTCCTCCATCACTGAGCCTCAGTTGCACTCCACTGCACACACACACTCTGCCATGGAAACCGGCTGCAGCAGAGCCGACATGAACGACCAGCATCAGGCCCATGCCAGAAGTTACGTGAGAGACTCAGATGTGTGGAGAATCTAATATTGGAGGATTGTAGCGTGTTTAGTTTTTGGATGTGTAGGCCCCGAATATGAATGAATTACTCTGTTGGTTTCTGTTATATTGGTTTGTTGGAGAAGCGTTTTAACACCTGTTAATGTTTTATCATGCCTCTGCCCTAAATCCACAGATCAGCATGTGCATGTAGAATGTATGTATGTGTGGGTACATCTATGTGTCTGTTTTGTTAAAGGCAGGATGACGTCCTTGTGGCAGTGTGTCATAGCCTCACTCTCAGAGCTGTTTGAGGACAATGAGAATGCCAGCATGGAGGATGTTCTGATAAATCCTCCTTAACCCAGATAGTCTGCACCAGGAATAGAGCTATAAATGCATTCTCTGCACCAGAATGCTGTGTGTGTGTGTGTGTGTGTGTGTGTGTGTGTGTGTGTGTGTGTGTGGTATTGGATTATTTGACTTCATATTGATCTGGAATGATTTAAAGATCTTGTATCTTTTTACAATTAGTGCCAAGAAATTCATTTTGGGGTTTTGCTGTGTGGAAACTCTGGATATACTGTTGTTGTCCTGTTTCTTTTTGTTTGTATAAACATACGTAAGTTTAGTTCTAGTGGTCTGGCACTGAATAAGTCTGTTCTAATGAGAAGCCAGGTGATATCAAATAGAGGCAGAGGCTTTCAAAGAAATTCAAAAGAAGGTTATGTTGCTTATGAGCATAACGAGAGATCTGCACAGGCATGAAATTGAAGCCTGAACCCAACCCGTAACCACAACTTTGAGACCCGACTCGATTCAACTGGTACTGCCAAATTTGAAACCCGAACCCACTCAGACGCACTAACGAGTGGATTATCACAGACAGGGTTTTACAGTGCTTTGCTTTGTTACTTAGTGCTTGAGTTGTGCGACAGAAAATATATAAATAAACTAGCATTTTATACCTCTGTAATACACTATAAACAATATTTATCAGTATTTTTGGAATTACAGGTCATAGCTGGCAAGAACAGCATCTTGAACTTGAACTTTTGCGGTAAAGTTCAGCAACGCTCTTGCTACTGTTTCTACTTGCAGAAATACTTAACACGCTTCAGTATGGCTGTTTGATTACAGAAATTTTGAGTGGACTCTGAGATAAGTGATGGAAGAGTCGAGTCATCTGGTTAAAATGTTACTATATTACAGTCTTATTAATAGTACAGTATTAACTATAATTGAGTCTCATTTTTTACTTCCTGCACACTTAAAAATAATGGTTCTTGAAGGGTTCATTAATAAAGAAAATGGTTCTTTATAGGACCATAGACACTCAAAGAATCCTTTGCATGATTAAAGGGTTCTTTGCATCATGAAAGGGTTCTTCAGGTTGATGGAGAATATGCTGCAGATGGTTCTTTATAGAATCTTTTTGAAAAGGGTTCTGTATAGCACCAAAAAGGGTTCTTCTATTGTTACAAGCTTGACATCGAAACAACAGAAGAACCTATTTGGAGAAAACTTTGTAGAAGCCTTGGAGTCATGTCTCAATTCCCGAGTGCCTGGAATTAAGGATTCAGTTTTTTTGGGATCAACCCCCAGCCTTACACTTCATGTGAACTTAACAAGCAATGGGAAATGGGAATGTACTGTTGAATTTCATTTCTGGTTTTATTCAGGGGCACATGCACCCATTCCTCAAACTCTGGAGACATTCCCAAAGCAGCTATAATGGGACCGTAATGGGTTTTTATGCTTAAATATTTTTAAGTGTATTATATGCAAGAGAGTGAGAGATGACGTGACAGAGCACGGGAGGGAAACTGCATGAGAGTGCGTGAAATTTTACATACACATATTTCTTTAAATAAAAACAAATCTGCTACGTAAAAAAATCACTCAAACAAGCCCGACACAAACCAGATGAAAATGGACCCGAACCTGGCCCGAAACACAGTAATTTGTCAGGCCCACATAGGGCCTGGGTTGGGAAGCAGACCACCAATCATGATATTCCATTCATATATCTTGCTGTAATGGAATGAAATTGACATGTCACAAGAAAAAATGACATGGTCACAAGAAAACACCAGAGGTTTTGGTTTTAGGAGCTGATAGTGATCTTGGCTTGCTATTTTCTTAACCTTTAATTATAATGAAGGGAAACCGGATTTCTCTAATTCCAAAGTCATGCAAGTCAAAGACGTTTGTTTGCTTGTTCTAATGCAAATAGAGCTTATGTCAAATATAAATACTCACAAACTGGTAATGACTTGTACCTCATTTGAAGGTTACTGCTTCATACTTAAAGATATTTAGTGGAATAGCTTAAATGTTTAGTTGGTGTGTCTCTGTATCCAGTACACAAACAGCTTTAGTAATTGTAGTTATTTTGCAGTGGAATGAATTATATTATTAATGTATGGCAATAACACTAATGTTCACATGCTAAAGTAGAGAATGTATAAATGGGTAATTTTTCCTTTTGAAATCATGGCATGTAAATCGTGACAAAGACACTTACAATTGTAAGGAGACACGGCTGTATGTTAGTTATCATTGCTT